ATTTGAAATTATGCATGTAACCATTTAAAATAGAGAGTACCTTTATATCGGATACGAGAATTTCTTTTGCTTTTTCATATTTATTTTAGAATTGCAATGAAAAAAGTGGTAATAGAGAAACCAAAACTAGAGTAAAGCGTTCCACATGAGGTATCAGCGATGGAACAACATTGCCGACATGACTCGGTAGGTCTATTCAAAACATCTACATCAAAAACATGTATGTTAAGAGTTAAGACTAAAGAATACCAATTAAAAGATCTTTGAAACAAAGTCGCAAAAGTGAGCGTGGTAGAAGAGGAAAGTTGAGGGCATTAAAATATTTTAAGTACCTAAAGGAAAAGAAATTAGTAGAAGATACCAAATATATTAAAATTTGGGACTTTTTTTGGGGAGGGGGANACATGACGATCAGTCTAAAGAGTGAAAACTAGACTACAACCTGCTGTAACTATGATATCTTTTAAATTAGGAAAAGTATTTTTATAGTGTAATTGTCCATGCAGGTTAACATATGAGTTTACGCTTGACATAATTCAAATAAAGTTTAAATTTTATTATACTAATAATGTAAAGCTTTTACAAATTTTATTAGGAAATTTTTTTGTACTTTTGAAGTGCATAGAACTCAGATCCACTCAAAATGTGAAAGATTGGCGCACGTCTAAACATCGAGTATGAGTTTAGCTATTTGAAAACGAAAAATAGTTAAACGTTTTAGCAAAATATTTTCCTCCATATAAAACACACCCTTAACGAGAATAAGAATGTTATGCTCAAAGAGAGGGCAGGCCCAAGTAACATCTTAAAGTACTGAAAGGACAAAACTAGCATACTGATGCAAAAAGAATCCCATGATAAAAGAAGAAAAAAAGGCAAAACATGCAGAAAATTGATTCAACAACACCCTACATCTATATGGTCCAAGCTGAAATTATAAGTTTGAAGCAACTCATGTATTATAATAACGCTTGCTTTCATCTCTCTTAAATGGCAACAGCAATTCTTCCAGCAACTTGGTCGAGATCTCTCTGGCCATTGGATGTGATTCTCCTTCCACTGAAAAAAAAGGAGTAACAAACATCAAACAGTAATACTTCTCTAAGTATCAGAAAGATAATAAGTAGCAGCAGTTCGACACTTAATCTCATCTCAGAGATGACTCCTTCCAATCCCCCTTTTTTAATTTTATGCCTAATTCTCGGGATATTTTATCTTTTTGTGCCGAGGGGTCTATCACAAACAGCCTCTCTACCCCAAGGCAGGGGTAAGGTCTGCGTACACACTACACTCATCAGTGACCAGACCCCACTTGTGGAATTATAATGGGCTGTTGTTATGTTGTTGACTATTTCTCAGGACATATAGAAGAACGAAAAAATAAAAAATCCTGTTTCTGCATATAAAGCATCAGTACAAAATATGGTGTTAGGGGAACTACATCAGCTAAATTCGAATAGCAAAGACTCCAAAATCAGGGGAAACAACTATTATTCTCCTGCTGCATTCCCCATTTCATTCAAATAACATTTCAAAAATGAGATGTCAATCCCAGGAGTTTTTCCTAAGCAACTGAATTCCGTACCTACAATTTGAAAGATGCAATTTGAATGTGACAAGGATACTTACCCCTTGGGATCGAAGTCAATGATGTTCATGTTCTGCAATTGCTGAAGGATGTTGCGGGCAACTGAACCACTGCTCTTGCAGAAATGACGTGGGCGGCTTCCATTCCTCTGGTTACCACCATAAATTCTTCGGAATCCACCAACTCCAAGACCTCCTCTCAGATAGATCTTTCTTGCCATGGAAGCTGTCCATACAATACAAACAGAATGGAAGAAAAGTTAGGAACAGTAATGTTTAGTCACATAATTTACTTCTTCAATGCGAGGAGATAACTGAAATACATACCAGCTCTAATGTAGTACCAATCAGGGTCGTATGGGGCAAGCTCTTTCAGTTTACCAGTCTTGACGATGTCAGTCCACTCAGGAAGCTCCATCTATGAAATTGAAAATTAATAAGCAGCAAACTAATGAGATAACTGTGGTTTTTATCTCACATTCCGAACCAAATTACAGCAGCAATCTTGACCAAAACTAAATCAAAAAGGAGGGGGACAAATAGACAGCCTACTATAGCAAAAGGGCAGACAGGCACTCTCCCTATTGATCATAATACATAATAGCTTTTAACTGAGATATCAGACAACTTTTGACCTTAAAACAAGCCATCTCACTCTATCACCACATACTACATTTATATGACTGTAAACAATATAGAAATGGAATGTATGTAAAATTAATAAAATATGGCAACAAATTCAAGTACAAACAGAAGTAATAGCTTTCAGTCTTTAACAGGATCTAGCAGACAAATGTTCTCTCAATTTAGAGTGTCTGGTTATATGATTTTTATTTTAAACACAACCGCTTTCAGGCCAACATCCATAGTCATGTACAATCATGAATAGATTGGACGACTATGTCAATCAAACTTCTACAGCTATAATACTTATTAGCGAACACTAGTAAATACACTGAAAGGACATCTTAGCCAGAAATAAAAGTAAACCACCACACATAAAACATAGAGACACGATAGAATATCACTGATCAGATTACAAACATACACGCAAATTAAAATAGGAAAGATACTCCATCAAATAAATTTGTAAACTTGAGAAACTTTACACTACGGAAAAATGGACAAATTTGTAAACTAGAAAACTTTACACTATGGAGAAATGGATATATCTATAGTTTACAAAGAGAAGTGGATTTGAGAGAAGAATGATAAAGAGAGAGGCAGACCTTGCCGGAACGCTTGAGGTGAGCGGCGTAAGCTTTCACGAACTCGTGAGGTGAAACATCCTTTACATTTCTCGCTGGCTCCATTTTTGGCTCTGCTGCTACTGCGGCGCCTGTGCGTCTCTCTCCTACGAGTTGCAGCAAGGGTTTGTAAGGTAACAAGAAGGATGCTAGGGTTTATATTTGTGGAATATCGATCATAAAAGGGCCTCCCTGTTTTATAATAAGCCCATTATATTCGGGCTTCACGAAAGAAAGCCCAATGACCTCGTTTTATAACATTATATGGGCTTCACCTAAGAAAAAGCCCAACATCTGTTGTCAGTTAACATAAGGAGAATGATACAAACAGGACATTCGGTGAAACTAGGGGTGTCAAACGGGTGGGTCGGGTCGAATATGAGCGGGTTAAAAACAGGTAATTCAAAAAACGGATAAATTATTCGGTCCCATCCGTATTTGAGACGGATAAAAAATGAGTTATCCGACGGATATTATGGATATCCATATTATCCATGGCTTCTTGAATATGACCGCTTATAGGAGAATTCCTAGTCTTTTAAACTTGAGGAACCCCTAATTTGAGGCTTTATAAATATAAAAGTTAAACACATTAGTTATCCATTGGTTAACCATTTTCTAAGTAGATAATATGATTCTTATCCATATTTGACCCGTTTTTAAAAAGTTCATTATCCAACCCATTTTTAATGGATAATATGGATAGATAACTATTTTTTTTTAACTATTTTGCCACCTCTAGGTGAAACTATTAATTTTTTGAAACAGGTAATAAAAATTTAGAAAAAAGTAATGTCAGCATTTTAAAGTTTGCTCGCCAGGACTTTTCTCGATTGTCAGAATTTTAAACCACACGACAGTTACGGTGATTGTATGATGTTGCCACAAATTATGAATTCACCAGGACTTTTCAACATTGTGGCTGGAAATTCTAGTGATCCTCTAAATTTCCGGTGCTTCAAAATTCTGGCGGGTATTTAAACTTTTTGTCACGACCCCAAATGCTCCGGTCGTGATGAGACTATCGCAGTACTAGGCAAACCAACCCAACAAGTAACCACAGTGAATTCTTTTTATAAAACTATTTTTCTAAAACCGATTAAGTCTCAAATTCTCATATAAAATATATAAATCAACGGAAATATGTGATATCAATACAAAATATACCAACACAATCCAACAATCCGGTGTCACTAGTCATGAGCCTCTAAATACAACTAAGACACTATCTAAATAATACAAAATAAGTCCGAAACAACAAAATACTAAAATAGGAAGGAGGAAGGTAGGGTTGCGAACGTCGTGCAGCTACCTTGCGATCTCCGGTAAAGCTCTGAGAGTGCTGAAAGCTCTCACTCTGATGCTCGGGCACTTGGACCTGCACACAAGGTACATGGAGTAACATGAGTACGTCAACTCTGTAAGTAACTAAAATAAATAAGGTATGAGTGCAGTGACGAGCAGTTAAAAATCAGATAAGAGTTTTCAACAGATATATTAAGTCAAACTCAGCAGTTCAATAGCCGGTTACCTCATAAAACTTCAGTTTCAATTAAAATACTTTGAAATCATTTATTCAACATTTTTCAATAGAGGCTCAGCATAAAAAGAAGAGTGAAAACAGCAAAATATCATAACGGGCCCCTCGGGCAAGGTATCACTCATAAGTATAGCCTCTCGGGCAAGCCTCTCAGTCACTCGTGACTCAACTCTCGTCAATCAGTACTCACACTCAGCACTCCGGCTCAATAGATATCTCATAATAATAATAATAATAATAGTAATAACCGATGTGGCGTGCAGCCCGATCCATAGTTTATAGTCGACTACGCTCACTGGGGGTGTACAGACTCCGGAGGGGCTTCTACAGCCCAAGTGTCATATCGTTGTGGCGCGCATCTCGATCTAATATATATCATTGCGGCGTGCAGCTCGATCTATATAAGTATCGCTGCGGCGTGCAGCCCGATCCATGATGTATATATATATATAAAATCCTCACTATTAGGTCCTCAACTTCTCTCAGTCATTAACCTCACAGCCACTCGGGCATAACAGTGGAAATCAGGGAACTCAACCCAAACAGTTTTCATATATTAAGAAGTAGAGTAATGAAATTGGATTTAAACAATAAATAGGTAAAAATATGACTGATGATATGCTTTCAAAATAAATAGAGTGATGAATGTAGTAAAAATACCCCTAAGGGTCTAAACAGGTCGACACAGGGCCCCAAACATGGCGTACAACCCAAAATATAGTATCAATCTCTAAAATACGGAATATCATAAGATTTTAAATCAAATACGCAGCTTAATAGCCGCTACGGGACGAACCAAGTCACAAATTCCTACAGGTGCACGCCCACATGCTTGTCACCTAGCATGTGCGCCACCTCATTTATCAAAACAATACGAAATATCGGAGTTTCATACCCTCAGGTCTAAATTTACAATGGTTACTTACCTCAAACCGGATGGAATACTACTCCGCGATGCCCTTGCCTCTCGACTCGACCTCAACTTGCGTCGAATCTATCCAAAATCAGAATTACAACATCAATATATGCTAAGGGAACGAAGCCCATGCGTAAATAATCAAATTATATCAAAAATCTCAAAATTGGTCCAACCCGACCCCCGAGCCTACATCTCGAAATTCAATAAAAGTCACATCAATAGAACCTTATCCTCCCATGAGTCCATACATACCAAGAACATCAAATTCCGACCACAAACGGCCCTTCAAATCCTCAAATCAAAGTCTCCAATTTCAAGCCATAACTCCCCAATTTTAGGCTTCAAATCCCACTAATTTCATGTTTAAACAAGTAAGAATCAACATAGTATCGAGTTTTAGGTTCATTAATCTTACCTCAAAGAAGTTCTCTTGAATTCCCATTTCAATCTCCCCCAAGAAGCTCCAAAACCGACTCAAAAATGGTGAACTATGGCCAAAAATTGCGAAAATGGTCTTTTAAACATTCTGCCCAGCGATTTAAATTCCTTAATTGCGATCGCGGAAAGACCATCGCGATCGCGAAGCACAAAATTTGATGACTCAGAATTTACTCTACGCGAACGCGATACACAACAGCCCTATACCTACACGATCGCGAACCAGGGATCGCTTTCGCGATGAACAAATGCGTGGTCAACCTCTGGTCCACTTAACCTTATGCGAACGCGCCCTAACCCATGCATTCGCGATTCTTTACCTGAACAACTCTTGCGATCGCAGCTCCAAGTAAGCGAACGTGAAGAACAAACTGGATTGCCCCTAAAAATGCTCTACGCGATCGCGAGCCTCCTCACGCGATCGCGAAGAAGAAATATCTGCAATAGAACTGAAGGAAAAATCTACAACTTTTTCAAACATGAACTTGATCCGTTTAACCNAACTTGTTCCAACCTTTGGAAAACTCAAAACAATATCAAAACATCAAATCAACCACGGATTCAAGCCTAAGAATTCCAAAAACTTCCGAATTCTGATTTCGATCAAAAAGTATATCAAACCTCGTCTGAATGACCTGAAATTTTGCACACACGTCACAAATGACACGACGGACCTACTTCAACTTCCGGAATTCCATTCCGACCCCTATATCAAAATCTCCCCTATCAACCGGAAAATGCCAAAATTCCAATTTCGCTAATTCAAGCCTAAATCTACTCCGGACCTCCAAAACCCATTCCGGTCACGCTCCTGAAACTCCTTGGCCAGATTGCGTAATATTTGCAATTTGTATCCAGAGTTTAAAGTAGTGAGCGTTGCAACCCTATCTCTTAAGTAGGGGTGTACATATGTCGGATTGGTTCGAATTTTTTAATTACCAAACCAAATCAATGGTATCGGATTTTAAATCTATAAACCAAACCAACAAAGTCGAGGTTTTTAATCTCGATTTTATTGGGGTTTTCGATTTTTTCGAATTTTCGGATTTTGTTGGTAAAGTCTTCATAGCACAAAATATGTAACTTGTTCTCTAAATATTTCTTAGTCCTAATAAGATACAACTATATAATGTATTTTTCAAGAAAATAACATAATAATATGGGATAAATCACGTCATTAACTAAATTATTCTATAATAAAAATAATAAATTGCATAAAGCAAATATTGATATTTAATAAGTCATAATAAAAATTAACATAATCTAAAAAAATACTTTATAGGTCATGCTAAAATAAGTATATCTAATAAGTACTATTAATTAAGCACATAGAAAAAGATATATTAAGTTATGCATTTTTATTATAAACCAATGTAAAACTAAAAGATAGGTATCCAATACTATTGTCATTCCTAGTGTTGAGTTAATTTTTTTTGTTAGCATTAGTATTGATTTGAAATTTATTTGAGTTACTACATTTATAGGCTATAAATTTTATTTACCATTCAAAATGTTATGTCCAAACTTGAAATAATATGTTAAAAGATAAAATTGTAAAAAAGTGTTTTGCAATATAATTTATAACTGTTTTGTCACGACCCTAAACCGGACCCGGTCGTGATGGCGCCTATCGTGAACAAGGCCAGCCGACACAAACCCCCAATACCAATTAACAATTATGTAATTCATAATTAAGTCATTAATAAATGAGAAATTCCAAAGTAAAGTGAAATAGAACAAATGCGGAAACAAATACAGCCCGACATCGGGGTGTCACCAGTCATGAGCATCTAAACATAGTCTAAGAGTATGAAAGAGACTACACAGTCTATTACAAAACTAGTACAAAGGAAAGTAAGATAAGAGGGAGAAGCACTGGGCTGCGAACGCCGAGCAGCTACCTAGTGAACTCCGAACAGCCTGCTGGAAGCAATTAGCCCTCGCTAGCAGGACCCGAGACTCCTGAATCTGTACGCAGGGTGCAGAGAGTAATGTGAGTACGCCAACTCAGTAAGTGATAAAAGTAAAGGCAGTTGAGCGATAAGAAAATACGTAAAATACAGCAAAATGCTACAAAGAGGCAGGATAAAACCAATACGATGTAATAAAATAGTGAAAGCTCGTAAAAACATCGTAGTTCAGTAAAAACCTCTTTAAAACATCTTTTAGCAGTTAAACGAGTGAATGAAAAGCAATGAGAAAAGATAGACACATAAAATCAGCCCTTCAGGCTATCTCACAATCACTCGTATCAGCCCCTCGTGCAATAACAT